TGAAACGTTAAAAGAAATTATTTATTTTGTCTCTTACAATAAACACATTAAGCTATCCACCCTTCTCTCTTTCCCTTTCGGATGGAAATAACCCCAAGAATATAGATCTGAGAGTTGTAAAATGAATATGAACGAGGATTTACATGTAATTAGCCGAGTGTCAGAAAATATACGTTACGAATGGGTTATTTAAATCACCTTTTTTCTAATTACCTTTTCAGCAATGAATTATTTTTCCTAATTTGATGAAATGTTTAGAAATGCATTCTCCAAGGGAAGGGAATCTGGGATTTATTTATTTCTTATTTATGAGTAATATTAGGAAGAGAGATTTTTTTTTTTTATTGTATAACCATTTCATAAGAGATTTAAATTTCTTTTGATTTAAATTCCCAGGCAAAGAAAAAGAGAAAGAAATAGTTCATATAGCATTTAGTTCCGCGACTTATATGGTTTTATTTCCTAATGAGGATAATAAGTATAGAATCATAAAATCAAGAATAAATGTGTATCTATTACAAGATAATGTGACCACACCCATTTCTTTCCTTTTTCTTTTTTCTTTTGCCTTTTTTTTCTTTCCTCTAGACCATTTTAATTACATGTTATTTATTATTATTAGATAACAGTACTTTATTCACCTGTAGAAGAAAAAAAAGATAGATATTGCACCATTTCTCGGAATAATACATGTCAGAAAGGAAATGGCATATTGTGTAGTAATCGAGAGAAAACTGCAAAAAGAAGTAGGAAAGAGAAAAATGTTAAAGTAGAAGATAAGGAAAAAGAGAAGATTAGGATAAGAATTAGAAGATTAGAAGAAGATTAGAAATAGAAGAAGCAGCAAAAGAAGAAGAAGAAGAAATAGAAATACAAGAAAAAGAAACAAGAAGAAATTAGAAAATACATAAAGAAGAAAAAATAGAGAGAAGAAATGGAAAGAACAGAAAAAGAAATAGAGAAAAATAAAAAAAAAAAAAAAAAAAAATGCTCCCATCTGGTCTTTATTTCAGAGGCACATGCTACCCGGAAATCCTGAATATTATCTATTTAGTATTACTATGTTGTCTAAGATAACTAAAAGACAAGAGGATGCTGTTTGGATAAGGCTTATCTCTGCTGCTGATAAGGCTGTGGTAGACTAGAGGAAGTGTTTGGTTAATGTTATTTAGAGAAATGGGGTAAACTAAGGGTATAGGCCTACAGATTTGAACATCTTGATGTCTGTCTCTTGTTGTCATCTTTGTGTTTATTGTTGTTGATTTTGTTTTGAATTGCTTTTACTGGTCTTCGCCTTTCTCTTCACATGTACCATCTCTTCTTTTTCTCTTTATTTCTTCATCCTCTTCCTCTTTCTTGTTGGTTTCCTTTTCCTTCCCCATCTTTTTTGCCTTCTTCTTATTATTATTATTTATTTATTTATTTTTATTATTATTGTTGTCGTTGTTATTGTTATTCTTAATGTTGTTATTATTCTTGTTATTTCATTATTGTTATCATTATCAGTCTTTATTATTACTGTTGTCATTATTGATTATTTATTATTAGTTGTTGATTTTTATTATCATTATTATTATCATCATCATTGGTGTTTGGCTTCCAGCTGCTAAATCCACTCTTGGGCTTTTGCAGAGTACTGCGAGTACCCTCTCCTAGATGAAGCATCACTAAGGGCATCGTCCGAGCTACACACGAGAGAGGCAGACAAGGCCAAATTGTACGGTAAGCCTAAACGCTCTTTGCTTGTTTTGGGTTTTACCTTATGCTTTCTTCTCCTGATGAACCTGCAATGTGGCATTGTTTTATTTGGTGTTTTGTTGCAGCTGCGTCAGTTTGCAGGAGTCAGTTTCTATTCCCTTTCTTTTCTCTTACCTCTTTTCAGGGAATCAGATACGATCAGCATTTAATTTCATGATTTCTCTCATTGAGAGGAGTGACTGTATGGTCATTATTATTATTATGTTTCATGGTTAAACGTATTCTGTTTCAGGTATAACATTTGTGGGTCTCATTTTGGTCTTATGTGGATGTGTATTAACAAGGATCTCTTTCATTGAGAGAAGTGTATATTATTGTTGTTATAATTATGTTAATTGGTCAGTTGTATTAGTTCAAGTGTCAGATATATTTTTATATGGTTGTATATTTACAGATTTTTTTTTTTTTTTTTTTTTTTGTGAGAAGTAGTTGTTAATTTTACATTATTATTAATATGTTATCATGGTTACACCTATTTATTATGCTAGTGATTTTTTGCATTATATTGCAGTAGTTGCTTGCTGATATTGATATTGGAACATTCAGTATCTATTTACTGGTTCTTAAATGTGTTTTATAAGTCCTTTTCAATTTTTGTTTCCATCATTGGTTTCTTACTCACCTGAGGAAATGTAATACGAGAATATGGTCTTATTATTATTGGATATAACATCATAAGCTCAAAATATTTATTTAAATTCTCTTTACTCTTGAAAAGGAATTAGGAGTAGGATATTTCTTGAATATGTAACCATATTTGCGTGAAACAAAGTCCCATGATTTCCATAGAATTTATACCTTTAGTACAGAGACCAATAAACCTCCACTACATATATTTGGCAAGATCACACATACACTTTCTCCTTATGTGAAAGCAAACCACCATGGTGCTTTGGAAGCTCAGTCTTGCCAGCGCTGTGGAGGTTTGTCTTGATGCTAGGTCAGCAAGTACTTAAGTTACTGTTTATATTTTTGATAAGTACTTCTGAGCTTATGTTTATTTTCTGCAGATAATTTTCTGTTGTAAATATGAAATTTTTCAGTGGTTTATACAGTCTATATTAGGCTTATCATAGTTTTTCTCTATCTGCATGGTTCTTGATTAACACGTTCCATGCAAGGCAACCCACTGTTGAGTCATGACGCCTCATTATGTTGTGATGTGATCCACTGGTAGGTCAGAATTAGAATTTCATAACTTATTTTAGCTTTTTTTTTTTATTAGTGTTTTTTGTTTAGTATTTACTCAGCACTGATATGGTAATAAATCTCATTTTATATGTAAATTATAATCACAGTTTTAGTATAAAAGACACTATTATTGTTCAGAAATTGTTAGGAATATACATATTTAAATGAGCTTAATTTTTCATCAAGACCCTGTGAATTAACTTCTCGAGTTTATGGTCACTAGTGGGCATATCACAAAGTCATGAACTTTTTTTTATTGTTGTTGTCTAAATGCAGTTCAACCCAACCATGGACACATTTCCCAGCATCCAAGACTTCTGACGCCTAACAACCATGTTACTTTTATGATGATGATATGAGACGGATTTCCTAGTGGAATTTTTTTTCCTTTCACATTGGGCGGGGGAGTCTGCATCATTGCCAATTGCATGGAATGTGTTAAAGATTTACCAAGAAGTGAAGCTTTTGAAATGCATTGGTATTTGTATTAGCTGTTATTCACTGATGCCATTTGGTGAGAGATTAGGTAGAACCACTCTTCTCTGTTATATCTTTTAGGGAGAGTTACGACTAGAATTGATTACGGACTAAAATCTATTTGCTGGGATGAATATCTGAGATGGAGATTACTATATTGAAAATAAGTACTCATAAGAAAAGATAAATAGAAATAGGATGTAAATTTACTATTTGATCCTATTCCCGGGGACCACACCACCATCTGTGCCTGTTGTTGAATATGACCGAATAGAAACCTCAAATAAGGTGGTAAAAGAAGTTTCTTTTCCTCTTTTTTTAGGTGCATTCTGAGCAGGCATCAGATGGTGGCTCCCCAAGTGTTGTGGTCATCTTATCCTACTGATCTGAGTGTAGCAAAGAGAGAGGACTCCCCATTTGTCTTTTGGCAAAATATTTTGGATGTGTTGATCCAATGTTGCTCGTTTGGTGTGCGAGTGCATATAGGAAAAGTAGTTTGAGATCGTGAGTTGGACACTATAGATAGTGATGATATTTTGTTCTCGTGTTAGTTATTTGCTAGCTAGATTGGATGTTGATAATATATACTAGATTTTTACACAAAATTGTAGACTAAATATTGAAAATGCGTTGAGGATACAATGACAGAGTGAGTACATAGTTGCCCACAGCGTGGGCCTTCTAACACCAGTTTCCTTGGTACATTGCAACTAAGAGTGAGCTATCACCGGACATTGCTTTCTCCACTCATGCACCACACAATCCTCAAGCCAGTGCACAACGGAGAAGCCAGACGACATTGAGGGTGCAACAAATTTTGCTTTATTTCAAACAATCGGGATCGCAAAATTAAAATCGTCTCTCGTGGTCAGAGTGCTCGAAGTGACTTATTATGGCGTCCTCTTGAATAAGGCAATGCTGCCACTGAGGAAAGACCGTATCTCGCCATTATGGAGCAGGAGAGATCGAATGACATATAGGTGTGACAAAAAGTGACTGGATCAGCATCGAACACAAAAATGGCGTTAACCTTTGCCCACGGCACCACTGAACCCACATATCTTGACTACAATCAACTGTCAAATGACATGTATTTAGTGAGCAGAAGGAGACTAAGGAAGTGATCGTATTATTAAACGCTAAGTGTTGCGTCCCTACCGAGGGTAAACATGGGGTATTAATCGCGCTATAGCTTGCATAAGGAACAGAGACTCGAGCTAAAGTGGAGATGTAATGAAATGGTATTGCATGTAACCACAGGGGAGAAGGATGTCAATGAGTGAGGTTCTACTGTACGCGCACAACACGAGTTAGCACGACGCGTCATGTCTCCACGAGAAAACAAAAATTCACTGAGGATGACCAGAATACTGTTAGTTTTTTCTTGAGCGTAATATATGACTCACTGAGCGTGGCGTCTATGCTAACTTGTACATCGACACTGGGTTGCCTTGTTACAAGCGAAGGCGAGTCTTGATGAGAAGTGTCCACCGGAGTTCACGATTAAGTCGCAGTAGCGGATATAGCAGCTGGCGCGGGATCATATTCCTTTACTAATTCTCTGTATAGTCACCTCTCCATCAGCTCAGCCTTATTTAATTTCCCTCCACTGCGAGGCGTAACACACAAGTCATGATAGCTATAGGAAAATGACGAAAAAGTGGAGCTTCATAAAAGCATATATAGAGGACACAAATAAAAACACTACTCGCAGTTTATCACATATATGCTCCCTTCAAATAAGTTAGAACACGTCCTCTAACAACAGCGTAAATAGAAAGTAATGTTACTATCCACACAGAAAAGTGCCATCAAGCATCGCATCTTTGAATTCACGATGACACATAGAGCGCTATTCAGAAATGCGTAGCTTACCCACATCCTTGCAGTCGTAGACACAGTATGAATTCCCTCCAGGACCCAACGACAGAAATGACGGTACTCCATGCGTCAGTACGGCAATGTTCAAATAGAACACTTACCAGAAGCAATAGACACCACCCACTCGTTAACATTAAGTGCTATCATGAGGGGACATCCTACCTATAAGAGAGCATATGCATACGCTTGACCACTTATCAATCTCATGATTCTAGTCTGATCACCTGCTTGATCTTGTATTTCTATCAAGCTAGATACTCTCAAGATTTCTTTGTTTAAATGATATATACTTAATCTAACCCATCGACTTATGGGGAAGATCTATCATTCATCATATTCTACACTAACTAAATTTAGTGTTATTGCGTATTGTTGTAAATTGTATATACAAACACTTATATCAAGATGAGACTACTCTATCAGAGTATCTATGACTACATCACTCCACGGGAGTCAATTAGCAAGTACATACTGATTTCCCCATTCACCGCATTCGTGTCTTGTGATTTAGTAATTTTTTTTTTAATTGTGTTTAAGTAAATGACATCCAGTAGTAAGATATAAATAACCAGTCGCTGATTACTATCTTTATTTATCATCAATGGAATTGTTACAACCAAACAAGAGATGTTAACACAAGACTTTTATAAAGAGATGTGAAAAACAAGAGAGAATGAAGTTCTTTAAGTACTCTAGAAGTCACGAGAGGAAATTAAATGTTGAGAGAAGATCAGGTTTAATAGTAATTCAAGCTGGTTATAGGATTAGATAGTAAATGCTCCTTTATGGGACTAAGTTCTTGTGGAGCCCTGCTTACAAAATACCCAATCTAAGTACAGAAATAAGAACTTCCTTCCTCTCGTGTTACTGCTATCTTTAACAGTCGAAACAGAAATGGCCTATTATTGTGACCTGTGAGTATATACGGATTATTTAGATGAATTCAATATATGAAATTCTCTCTGGTTGCTTCTATCTATTATGGCTTCGTCTACATCACAAGAAACTGTGAAGCTCCCCATGTGCTTGTTATACTCACCAAGCACAACTTTAACTTATAGAAAACATGGCCTTATATTTTGTGCGCTTGCTATATGGACATCGATTCAGGAGTTATTATGATTACCAAGTCCTTCCTCAAACATACCTAATCAGAGCAACTAGATCCCTTGTGCCTTAGTGGGGTTATAAGTGATAGAAGGTTTGTAGTGTCAATCACACTAACATAATTTACCTTTTCAACTATCACCGAAAATAGAAGTGTCTGCCCATATATATGTAGATAGTTTAGAGGAAATGTAAGATTTACATTCCTATTGATTATATCTTCAGACTTTGCGTGGAGTTAATCTTTACTTAATTTTTATATATATTACACATCTGATCCCTAAATACAACACACTTTATATAACTAACGCTCGAAGAACCGTTACATTTAGATCAAGACAATAAAATACCCAAGAGCTTCATGTCTTAATGTTGAACATAGGAACAGAGCTCTATAATCTAGCAAGAATAAAAAGATAAAAAGTGAGACCCTAAAGAATTCACCGCTTATACACCTTATTGTATCAATCTTGCACGTCTAGCCGAGTGTTGCATTAAAAATATTTATTATGATCTTAATTATCGTGATCATTAAGTATTAACAACACCTGTATAACCAATATATAATACACCTCTATGAGTGAATACAAACTACTTTCCTCTGTGCATATATTCTTGAACAGAATCAATAGCTTCTGTACTATGTGTAAGGCTGCATTTATACGTGAACTCTCTTGTGAATCACTAGAAGATATTCTGCAGTCATGTGAGTGTTGTAAGCACAGAAAGTTGAGTCCCAGTGCCTCACATCCATGAGGAAAAACGGTACTATAAGGTCTAAATAAGCATTTACACGCCCCCTCCTCTCGCGTTGCGATCATTAGCATCATAGACTATATCAGAGATAACCCATATTGCTAGTACCTATAATCATTATTTCGTGCAATATTATCTGATTGTCAAGAGAGAAATATTGAGTGTTTTCTTCATGATGAATATTTGTTATTAGAGTATTTTCCCGTTAGTTTGATGTTAGGCAGACCAAAAACAAAAAATACTATAACTAACGAGAAAAATGAGCCCCACCAGAGCAAAACAAACGTGACCAACACAAAAGCGCCTCTACGCATCAGCACGTACACTGAAACCCAGAATTGGTACAATAAAATATAAAATATGGATATGTAGGTGATTTAAGTGATGATAGTTAAATGTTTCGTACGACTCTTACATCAGACACAAAGATAGGTCTACATAAACTTTCTATATAGCTAATTCTATATACGTTCCATGCTCTTAACATTGCCACCTAGTTTTCATCACCACTTTGCATATATCTATTAAAAGGAGAGCATAACCTGCAATCTAAGAAATGCAGATCACAGAAAAATAATTTACACCACGCGCGAACGAGGCTTCGTACTACACGCCATGTCAGAGAGACTTTTCTTCAGGATAGACACTGAAGATTAAATATAGCAATTATTATCACAATGGGCGAGAACAGATTTGTCAGTTTGATCTTATAGATGATGTTGATGAACTCATAGAGTTATCTTTAGTGAGGTGATAGTTTTCAACACAAATAAACTCTCTCTCACATACAGTTGAGGTGATTATACCTTATAAGTATCATCATAAAAAACAAAAAGAGTTAAATTGCATTTTCTACAATCAATTATCTTTGAGTAAGCTATACGATGAACAATGAGAGTCATATTTCGTCTCTGTGTGAAAGAAAGTTATAACCTATGTGATATTATATATGATTGTAACTTTTCTCATCTCTATTTATAATCATTCCTCAATAGAGTAAGTAAGATATCTGAATTCTTCTTTGTGCCTCACCTATCACCGGCGGCCGTAAAATATAATACATGCACATTCAACCTCTTCACTACTATTAATTACTAGTTCTGCGTAATAAATTATAGAATAAAAAGATATTTTGATGTATTATATAGCGCATACTTTCTGAAGTTTCTTAATTTGTCTCTTTCAATATTTCCATTATTAATTATATTTGGTCTAAATATCATTCTATATTATTATCCTAGTTTCTTTTTTATAAGTTCATTGTGATCAATTTATTGTGTCTCTTACTCGCCCGAATGTAAGTTTAATAGTGGCTTATAGAGATCTTAGCCCCTTTTTAATTTGGAAATGTAGTCTCCTCATGCTCTTCCTATAAGTCACCATTGAGATCTAACTAGTTTGCTTCAGGATTTTTCTTTGTAACCTCTGATCTCTTCACCACCGTGTACTATGTGATGTTTACTTACTCCCCACTTCCCTCCGAATCCCACCTCTCATTGCCAGCGAATTACCATCAAAAAAATGAAGCGCGCTCACGGAGAAGGTAGCTGCACTCAACCCCCTAGGTGTGCAAATCCACCTTTTCTAAGTACACCTAGAGGTGAACTTTAAGAAGTAAGAAACATCAAGAATCACGAATCAACGGCTCATTGCACACAAACCAGGAGTCAATAACCACTCAACTGATGTATAGTCGCGACAAGCAAT